AAACATTCCAGGAATGCTTCTTTTGATAGATTTTGAAAAAGCATTTGATTCGGTTTCATGGAGTTTTATTGATAAGGTACTAGAATATTTTAATTTTGGGGTGGACATAAGACAAAGGGTTAAATCTTTACACACTAATGTATTTTCTTATGTTAATCAAGGTGGCAACATTTCTGCACCTATCAACATTCAACGCGGATGCCGTCAAGGTGATCCTATCGCCCCATATATTTTTATACTTTGTGTTGAGGTCCTAGCATCAAAAATAAGAAATAATGACCATATTAAAGGCATCCAATTGGAAAATATAGATATTTTAAATATACAATATGCAGATGATTCTGGGTTGATACTAGATGGTACTGAGAGGTCTCTTAAGGAATCTATCGATGAATTGAATAATTTTGCAAATATCTCTGGGTTAAAGATCAATACTACAAAAACACAGGTTATATGGATAGGCAGTAGAAAATATAGTGACCAAACTTTCCTTCCAGACTTGCATCTACAATGGGGGAAGGATAAGTTCAACTTTTTGGGTATAGATTTTTCCGTAGATTTAAGTGAGATTCCAAGAATGAATTTTGACAAAAAGATTGTTAAACTTAAAGCTCTTATTAATAATTGGAATAGACGGAGTTTGACTCCATTAGGTAGAATTAGTATCATAAAGTCTTTGTTGATTTCCCAACTTAATTACCTGTTTATCACTTTGCCAAATCCATCCGAAAAATATATTGCTAAGTTGAATTCTTTGTTATTCAATTTTCTATGGAATGGCAAAAGTCATAGGATTAAAAAAGAAGTTGTGATTCAAAACTATATAAATGGGGGATTAAAGATGATTGATGTACATGCTTCTATAGATTCTCTTAAGCTAGGTTGGATTAGAAGACTGTTCCAGCCATCTGGAAAATGGAATCAGCTTTTGAATCTAATTTTGGATCCTAAAAAAATGATTAATTGTGGAAAAGAATACATTATGACATGTGTAAATACCTGTCTTAACCCATTTTGGAAGGATGTTTTTAAAGGATGGGTTAGACTGAATAATTCCAAATTTATGAGACAAACCTACAGTAGAAGTGAATCAATGTTAAAAACTCCCCTATGGTATAACAAAGATATTCAAGTGGGTAATAATTTTATTTTTTATCGAAATTGGTTTGAGGCAGGAATATTTACAGTAAATGACCTGGTTAAAAATTCTGACAGCTTGACTTTCTATTCACTTGAGGAGTTTCAGTTTAATTTCCATATCCATACAAACTTTCTTCAGTACCAAGGGCTAGTCTCAGCTGTCAAGCGTTTAGTTAGGAAATTTGACTCTCAGATAGCTATAGAAAGACCTTTCCAACCTTTTATACCTCTTCTCCTTGAATTTTTTTTTAAGAGTAGAAAAGGGGTTAAAGATTTTTATAACTATATTATTGCTCCAGCTTCAACACCTACAGGGATCAATAAATGGAACCATGAATTTGACTTTGATAATGAAAAATGGACAAAAAATTTCATAATTCCTTTTACAGTAACAAAAAGTGCAAAATTACAGTGGTTCCAAGTCAGAATTTTACATCACATTTTGGCAACAAACACCTTTCTGTTTAAAATTAACTTAACCCCTAGTCTGTTATGTACTTTGTGTAATATAGAACATGAAACAATAATTCATTGTCTTTGGGAATGTCGAGAAGTGCAGAAATTACTGCAGAGATTTGAAACTCTGCTGGATCTATTTTTTATCCCGTTTTCATTTAATAAGGAATCCTTCCTTTTTGGAATAGTTTCACACCTTTCCAGCTTTGTTGATAATGAAATTTTAATTCTTATCAAGCATTATATATACAAGACTAGATGTCTCTGCAAATCTTTAAATCTCAATGCACTAATTAATGTTATTAAAGATCATTTCATTGTCCAAAACTATATTAATAACGGTAAAAGTGAGCATGTCAAAATGAAATTTGAAACAGGTTGGAGAAAATGGAAACCTATTATAGATATATAGCTGTTTTGTTAATTTATTTTTCCTGTGTTTTAATTTATTTTTTGTATACAGTATTTATCCAAGGCCTCAGCAGTTTCTGATAAAGTCACTGGCTACTTAAGTATATACAATTTTTACATGTAAGATTACCTCCTCCTCTCTCTCTCTTCTCTCTCTTTTCTCTCTCCCTCTCTCTCCTTATCTCTCTCTCTCTCTAAACTTATACTACTGATTTTACTCTTATATAAGTATAGTAGGTTTGATGTACACAACAGATGTATACTATTATTTATGGTTCTAAAGTAAGAGAGTGATGTGTGTATTAACCTGTGTAATGGATAGGTGTCTGGGAGTTTGTTATGGTGTGTTGTGTGGTGGATGGTGTGTGTGTGTGTATGTGTGTGGTAGTGTAAAAGATGAATTATATAGATACAGCTAGGTATGAGGCATATGAGTCAATATATGTAGACAGCTGACCGCATACAAGTCTTATGTGTATGCATGTGTGTTTATATATTGTTCATACTCATGTATGTACAGTTAAATAGCTACTATCGAACATGTATACAGTGCAGTGACATGTATTAGTGTCCACAATGTAGAGATATCAGTGCTCAAATGATCATGTACATATTGTGATATGTGTGTGTGTTGGTGAACAGTGATACATCTACTATGCTAGGCTTGGAAGTTTGAATTATTATTCTTAGCGCATATCATCTAGGGGTAGGAGAATGAGGAAATGTTTTAATAAATAAATATGCAGAATATGATGGTTGTATAATAAGTTATCTCGTGCTAGCGTATATGCTCTGTAAGTTTGTGTGTGTGTGTGTTTCTTTCCATGATTATATGTATTATGAAAAAATCGTCGAAAAATAAACAAGTACAAAAAAATAAATAAAAATTGAGCGAATGTAAAATTTCTTTTTTTTAAAAAAATCATGAAATAAGTATTTGCAATTCATATTAATCGCACTTGTNAAAATTGAGCGAATGTAAAATTTCTTTATTTTACAAAAATCATGAAATAAGTATTTGCAATTCATATTAATCGCACTTGTTGGCCCGGATAAATGCGCGGATGGGGTCTTCATGTGGGAGGAAAGAGCAGTACCCGGAGAAAACCCACGTGGACCCAATACCTTTTTTTTCTTCGACCGTTTTGGTGAAAGGTAAGTGCACTATACCTTGCACCACCCGACCACCGAATTTAGGAATGATAAAAGACGTGTGCAAGTCTTGACGTGTACGCTTGAGAATGTTTGAATTACGGACATATGCAAGTCTACAGATATATTTGAATTAGGGACATATGCAAGTCTAGATACATAGCAGTTCGACAAGTGTTAAATTGAGGTCATGTGGAAATCTAGATATTTAGGGACGCGGTTAGTATTGGGCAAGTGTTCTAGTTCAGGGCATGTGCATGTCTAGAAATGCGAAGCAAAACACAGACATCTGCACTTCTAGAGATAGTTAGATCACTTCGTTGCTAAATTAGATTTAGGTTTTGAATGATAGTGACGGAAAGTTAGAACATTGCTGGATAAGTTCCATTAATTAATTGTACTTAAAATTTGTCCCGACCCACACGAGTTACATGCATCCTAGCTTCTTGCTGTTTCAATTAGAACGATCACAGATGAGCATGTGTTATTATCTTAACAATTCATTTTGTTTACTTTCTCTTGTAATCCCGATTTCCCGATTCCAAAACTATAACCCTTACTACGCACTCCCTCCAAATCCCTCCCCC